AATATATATAAAAGTGTTTACCTCAGTTGAAAAATGGAAAAGGCGATAGGACGGAGATTGGTGGACGGGGGGGGGGGGAAGGGGGGGGGGGGGGGGGGGGGGGAGGGGGGAAGGTGGTAGGAGCTAGGGAACCGCCTCCACTATGAAAATTTTCGATGACTTTTCCGTGGTCACGTGCTCTTGCCAATGGCATTTTTATGGTCTTGCGTTGTTTTTAACACTCTTTGAACAGTGGTGCCGATGTGTGGCTTTCCCTTTTTTTATTTTTTCTTCATGAAGAAAAAGCGAAAAATTCCTCATGGAGGCGGCAATTCCGATCGAGAGAGAACAAAAACCGTGCAAAAAAAAATTACCCGGAACGAAAACTTGGCGAAATATAACCGCCCCCCTCGACACCACCTGGACACCTCCCCCGCTCACCTGTACACCTTCCAGTTGTTCTTGAGCTTCCGCTGCAGCGACTTGTACTGGTCCGGGATCCGCACGGCCTCGTTCTTCATCGCGCTGAACAGGATCGTGTTCCTCTCCTCCGCTTGCAGCTCCGCTTCCTATCACCAATTACCACCAGTTACCTCGAATTACCTCGAATTACCACGAATCACCGCGAATCACCGCACAATCACCTCGGCTGTGGGCGGCATCTCCGACGATCCTCGGACGATCCTCGGGCGATCCTCGGGCGATCCTCAGCCGACCACGTCCACCCGCATCCCCTTCGAAACACGTTGCGAGACTCCGAATTACGCGTTCCGGGGAAGCCCGTTGAATCGATGAGGATCACCATGGAAACGGGCGAGACTCGCGCCCACGTCACTTCCCAGTGTTGCCGCTTCACATCCGAGTCCAAATAACATATTATAATTATAATTATTTATATTTTATTCATTATTTTAAAGGGGAGCGTGTCACGGCTGCGGATGAGGTCCTCTCCGCGAACGCGGCTCTCAGACCCAGAACGGGAAAAAGAGAAAAGCGATCGACTCCAGCGTCATCTGTCTTCGCAAAGGAAGACCGACGCTTCCACCTCCTCTCGTGAGATGTCGCAACCAGCACGTCGGACCCCACGACCCCGGCGAGACGCAACCGTCTCCCCGGGGGGGGGAGGCCTGCGAACGTCCCTCGCGTTTTCTCCCGCGCTCTAATTAGGTTTTAACGAGATCGTAATTAGGGATGGCAGCACGACGAGGCCACGTCCGGTCGAGTCTCCTTCCAAGCGAGAGCCAAACACAAATTCCAAGCTTTGGAGAGGGTGAAGACGGGATGAGAAGCCGCCGCTCTCCTGGGTTTCTGATGCTGCTTGTAGAAACGGTTGTTGGACGGGATGGGATGGGATGAAGGGGTAGGGGGAGGGGGGGGAGGGGGAGGGAGAGGGG